CATGTTGGAGCCTTCGATTGCAGTGAAGAGAGCTGATCAGCAGGATGAGTAACCATGTTTGTTTCGTTTTAAAGTGGGGAAGCGTAACGTTAGTTTCTCAGGTAGCTCATCTGATGCTTTCCTTACCGTGTTAGTAGGTTACAGACAGTGATAAGGTTGGCTTCTTATTTTACTTTTAATTTCATTTGAATTAGCTTAAGCAGCATTTATATTTTCTTTATAAATAAATTAACTTGCAAATTATGAGGGCAAGGCTTTTAAAGTTTAAATCTTCTGGCAAAGATAAAGTAAAGAAGATCCTGCAATTTATGGAAGTAAAGCAGAATTAAATCCAGCAAGATCAGTAATATGTCAATTAATTATCTGCCACATTCCCATGTAAATATCTGTCTTTGGAGGATGTGTTTTTTAGCACCCCTAGTTCTCTCATTTTTATTCCAAATACAATTTATAATTTGAATCACAGGGCTATGTTTATCTCTATGGTTCAGTATTTTCTCAAGCAGCAACTTTAACTGCTATACTTTCCTGTCTTAAAAGGCAGAACTCTTCTAGTCTAAAAAAACTAATTTGTTGAAATGGGGGGGCCTATTGTTTGAGCCCCTTAGGGGCTTTTAAAAACAAAAATGTCTTTTTATGCACTTTATGAAACAAAGTAGCCTATATTTTGTGGATGTACAGCTACATTTCTAATGTAAGTTTGCGTAGTTTTAACACAAACATTTATTTTTCATATTGCACCAGTACAGTTAATGAGCAACCTGTACTTGTGTGCTTGTTTGTTCTGTCTAAAATGTTTATTTTTGAATAAAGAGGTTAATAAAAAAAATATTTTTTGTCCGATTCATCGATTAACTGAAAAAAAAAAAAAAAATCGGCCGATTCATCGATTTTTAAAATAATCGTTAGTTGCAGCCCTAGTGAAAACAGCAGAGAGGATCATGGGGAATGAATTCTGTTGTGTGCATTAAGATTGCATTTCTGAGTGAAGCTTTTTCCACAGGACAGGCATATGAAAGGCTTCTCACCAGTATGAATTCTCATGTGTTCAGCAGGGCTGTCGCGGTGGAGGAATTCCCCCTGCGATTATTCAAGGAGGCTAAATATCGCAATATGCAACATTATTGCACCATCTTTTTTTTCCTTTATTCTAATCTTTTTATTTCCCAAATGAATTCCATTGTCGACTATTGTCGCCAGACGCGTTTTTCCAACAGAGTGAGGCATCTCACTTGATTATGAACTCTGCCGAGAGTCGCTCATGCGCAGTAGTGTCTCTGTCTCTGAGCGGTAACATACAAATATGGCGGCGTCAATATCAGGTAAGCGTACCAATACTTCTAAAGTTTGGGAGCATTTTAGCCTGGATATGGCGAATAAAAAGATTACTTGCAAGGTTTGCAAAGCAGACCTTGCGTATCATGGCAGTACCTCGGTGATGCACGAACATTTAAAGAGAAAGCATGTCGGGGAGTTGAACGAAACGGAGTCTGACTCGCCTCGGTAAGATGCAAGTAACATTCAAGCCAATGCAGTTTTAATGACATACTTATAAGCGCATTTTTGCTATTAAAAAGAGCTTGAGCGTTATGCCAGACTGCCTGACAAACATATTTTAAATTAAATGCATGCAGTCCGAAGAAGAGAAGCACCATGGAGCCCTTCTGCAAAGGAGGCAGACGTGCACCCTGCAACAGGCGGCTGCCCTCACGGAGTCAGTACTGCAGATGCTCATCTATGATATGAGGCCACTCTCCATGGTTGACGGTGCTGGGTTTTAACAGATGATAGCCCAGTTCAACCCCGACTATATCCTGCCATCCAGGACCCATTTCACCCACTTGATGGAGCAGAAATGCAGTACAATGTTTCTGAAGGTAATTGTTGAAAATACACACACACAGAGTTCATATAAGCAATCACACATTTCATTTAATAGCAATTATGTATTTCATATTAGCAATCAATCACCCCCACCCACCAACACACACACTTCATACAATCACAAATGTCATTTAAAAGCAATTATACATAACTTAATTTTTGTAGTATGATAGAGCAGCTGCAATAAAACTTTTATGTTGAATAGTTTCTGTTGATTTGTACGTTTTTACTCTTTAAATATTTACAAAAATCAACTTTTGTGTTTAAAGGTAAAGGAGATCCTAAAAGAGGTCAGCAGCTCCCTCACACTGACGTGTGATGTTTGGACCAGCCGTGCCACAGAGGCATATCTTGGAGTTTCGTGTCACTTCATTACCAAAGACTGGCAAATGAAAACTCTAAACCTCGCCACTCTACCTCTAGAGGAGAGGCATACTGCTGCCAACATCATGCTATGGATGGAAGAGGTGATAGAGAAATTTGACATCTTGCCTAGCAAAATTAAAGCAATAGTACACGACAATGGGTCTAACATGGTGGCTGCAGCTCGACTGCTGAAAGAAAAACATGGTTGGTTTTCTGTGCGCTGTGCTGGGCACACTCTCCAACTTATTGTTAACAGTGCCCTCAAAGAGCCCAGCATCAACAAAGCCACCGGTGCAGCAAGAAACTAAGTGGAGCACTTTAGGAGAAGTGAGCTGGCGAATTCAAAACTGAAGAAGAAGCAGCAGCAAATGAACACAGCAGAGCACAAGCTGATCCAGGACGTAAATACTCGATGGAATAGCACGTACTACATGATGGAGAGACTCGTGGAGCAGCGATGGCCAGTCACAGCGACCCTCTCTGACCCTGAGGTAACACCTAGAGGCAAGCACTACTGTGACCTCAAACCAGAGCAGTGGGTGCTACTTGAAGAGCTGGTGCAAGGATTTGGGCCTTTTGAATGTGCAACCGTTTTCCTCAGTGGACAGGAGTATGCTACTGCTTCATGTCTTCCACAGCTGGTTAAAGGTCTGCAACGGTCCATACAGCAAACACAGTTTGAGACGAGAGCAGGAAAAGCCTTTCGAGCAAATGCAGGAAAGGGAATAAGTGAGAGGTGGGAGAATCTTAACACTGTGTCTGCAGAGAGAGACAACCCACTTGTTCTTGCAGCTGCCATCGACCCAAGATTCCGAAAGATGAAGTTTATCTCCCCTGAAGATGGCACAAGGGTGCAAAGCACAATTTAAGTTCTTGCCATAAAAGAAGCTAAGGCTGAGACTGGGATACATGGTGACCCTGAGCTACAGCTGAAGAGGAGGGGCAATGTCTCAGGGGTAAAGTCAGCGCTGGATAACCTTCTTCAGTCCAAAACTTACAGCCGGAGTGAGGAAGAGGAGGAGACCCAGTAGGACCAAAAAATCCAAATGGTGAGGAGGGAAGTTCAGCTGTTCTTCACAGAGGCACTAATAAGCAAAAAGGATGATCCGCTCAGCTGGTGGAGAGGAAATGAGGGCCGTTTTCCCACACTGTCCAATGTAGCAAGATCCCTTTTGTGCATTCCTGCAACATCCACCCCAGCAGAGCGAATCTTCTCAGCAGCAGGAAATATCTGCTCGCAAAAGAGAGCAAGTCTCACACGAGACCATGTTGATATGCTGACTTTTCTTAGTATAAATAAACTGAACAACATATCCTGAGCCTCATCTTGATTTTAAACCTGGTCTGTCCACCATGACAAGTTTGTGTCCAAGTTATATCACACAGCCCATGTTTACAACTTGAGTAAAGACAGCACTGAATGCTTATTTTCAGCTGTATCTACTAATGTTAGTTGTTAATACCGTTAGATTTCAGACTGTTGAGAATTGTAAAGTTCTTTTGCAACAGACAGTTGACCACTGAATGTACTTCACAAAATGCACATCTTTGTTTTATTTAATGTTCTGCTGCTGCTAATGAGCCTGTTCTTGGTTTACAGGGGAAAAAATGTTTATTTGATTTTAATTTATTAATCATTTATTTGCCTGTCCCTAAAAAATGGACAGAGGTTTATTTATTTATAAATTTTACGTCTCTGTTGAATGAGCACTGTGCCTAATTGAAGTTAGGACATTTTTATTTAATTTTTGTACAAATCCACAGTATGTGCAATAAAATAAGTTGTTTTCATTGTAACCACATTTGTGTTCATTATCATGTGCCACATAATTAAATCAACTTCATTCTGAATTTAGAAAAAAGTAATAATTATCAGATTAGTCGACTAATTGTTTCAATAGTCGCTGAATAGTTGACTATCAAAATAGTCGTTAGTTGCAGCCCTACGTGTAACAGCGGCTGTTTATGTCCGTCACTGTCTCTGCTGTACTTAGCGACTCGAGCAAAGGCTTCGCCGACTCCAAGCTGTCGGCTGGCACCGACATGAGCCGCCCCACCACTCTGTGTGGCAGGAGGCGGCGGTAGCCGCTCCGTAACAGCTGGGTGGTAGCTAGCTAGATGAGCCCTTAAATTTGTTGTGTTTCCACGTTTTACTTGAACCGTTTTGCTGCAGATTTTATAAATTGCCTTATTTAAATTGTCTGGCTAGCGAAGTAACATTTGGTTTTGATATCAGTGACGCTGCCATTGTTTCCTTCTCAAATGTTGTCCCAAGATGCGGTGATGGCGGTGGCTGGTTTTGTAGCGCGGTGAGCTTCTTGATATCGCCATATTTCATTGGTGCGGTTATTGTGACAGCCCTAGTGTTCAGTTAACTTACCTTTTAGAGTAAACTGTTTGCTACAAATAGAACTGGAGAAAGGCTTCTCATTGCTGTGAATTCTCATGTGTTCATTAGGGCCAGATTTTAAGATAAAGGTTTTTCCCAAAGACAAACATTCAAACAGCTTCTCACCAGTATGATCTCTTGTGTGTTTGGTCAAATTACTTTCTACAGTAAACCTTTTGTTAACAAATAGTACAGGGAAATAGTTTCTCACCTGTATGAAGTCTGATGTGTGTAACAAGATTTAATTTCTGAGAGAAGCTTTTTCCACAGGACAGACATTGATTAATCTTCTCACCTGAGTGACTGCTCGTGTGATCCATTAAATGTTCTTTTTTTGGAAAGATTTCTCCACATGTGAAACCTTGGAAAGGTTCCTCCATTCGGTCTTCGGTCTCCTGCTTCAGAACAAGCTGCTCTTCATGCTGAATTATGGGGAGCTCCATGGTTTCCTCTTTAGTCCAGGGATGTTCTGGTTCTTGCTGCTCTTCTTTTATCTGCAGAGCTTCTGGTTCCTCTTGGTCCAAACTGGAATTCCTCCCCTGTCCACAGAGCTGCTGGTCAGAGAAATCCTCCTCTTTTCCAACATAATCCTGCAGGCGGTCTGGAAAAACCAACACAGCACACAAACCAAACCTTAGTTTTCCAAACATTTCAATTATTGATGTTTTACTGCCATCTGAAGTGTTAGAACATCCTGTGGGATGACCATCTATCCTTGATTTCCATTTAGACAACCAGTTTAAAATAACTAAACCAACTTATTCAAACCAAATATCTCTCTTAACCTTCTTGGAATAAATTCCATCTTGTTTTACATTCATTGGCAAAAAAAGCTTCTGTACGTCTGTTTCTATCATAACATCAAAACAAATGTCTGTACACGATCATTTGATGAGATATTATTAGGGGCGACCATCAAAAAAGGACAATTTTGGGACTTTTCATTTAAAATCATGACAGGGACAGGATACTGCATCATCCAGAGACTTTTGATAAATGCAGTTTGACTGTTGTCAACTACTGGACACCTTTAGCTATCATGTGAGGTGACCACCTCAGAACTTTGAAAACTAATCTTTAAATGTAGATCTACGTTCTGATGATCAATTTGATAGTGTAACGTCATGAGAAGTACCTAGCTTGGTTTCTGTAGCTAAATATTAGGTTAGAAGTGAACATAGAATTTATCTGGCGTGACCGAGGATCAAAACTACTGAGTGTTTTACATGACATATGATTTCCTCAGTTTCTATTTATTTACACGTAAAAGTTACTTAAACTGCCTGTTTATTTAAACACATTCTTCAAATTCAGTCATTTATCGTTACTACTCAGGAGTAAACATTTGTCTTTGATTATAGTAAAATCATATGAAAAAAGACAAAACTACGAGGCACAAAAGTATATTTAAGCAATCGTATATTTATTAGTCATATTAAACCCTTTTGACCAATTTTTCAGATGGCGCCATTAACAAGCAGACAGAAGACCGGGATCAGCAGACAGCAAGTCAACTCAGACCCTGAAGCAACAGTTGAATATATATATTAAGATAGAAACTCTGGGTAGCATTTCGTCTCATTAGGCCCGAGCAGCGACAGCACTGTGAAGGCCTAACTGTGGCAGGTAGGTAGATCTCTACGAATCATGAAAAAAGTCTCTTGGAGGTAGGCTCTAAAACCTAGAGGAAGTCGGCCATTTTGGGTCAAATGCAGATTTTTGGCAATTTTTCAATTTTGTTGACGTTGAATTATAATTATCTCCTCCAAGTGTATTTGACTTCAAACTTGGTGTATTTACAGAAAAGACATGAGATAAAAAAAATTATCTACTTTTTTAGAAATTTGAAATGGAATAACTTTTACAAAAAAAAAAAAAAAATCCAAATCATTTTGAATCGTTTTTACCCTGTTGAAAAAGGATTGACCCATTTAAATAAATAAATAAATCAGCCTTTTATCTAATTGAGTCGAAAGTGTCAAAAAAAAAAGGTTCCTTTCAGAGCTTTTTGTAAGTTGGTTAAAATGACAAAGCCCTTCTTTAAAGGAATAGTACACCCAAAACATGATTAGCCTTCATTTTCTACTCACCCCCATGCTGAACAACACTCTGGAGTACTTTTTTGATATCTCAAATGCATCTGGAGATCTGGGAGGCTTCTTGCTGTCTGCTGACATTCAAATAATGGAGGTCTATTGTGCCCGAGGCAGAAAGGTCCATAAAAGTCCACAAAAAACGTGTCAATATTCCTCCATACTGCTCGTCCAATGTATTCCAAGTGTCTTGAGTGGGTAGCATCCAGAATTTACTCGAAACGAAGTCATTTAGAATGTTTTTAGAGCATAAACAGTAGTGTATAGGATTTCCTAAAAGCGCGTTCACGAGTCCACGGAAACCGCAGCAGACCAAACCAGATGAAAGTGCGCATTCAGCTCGGCAAAGAACTCATGCTCTTCCTCAACACTGAAGTCCTCAGACATTTTTCTTTCGTTGTTTCTTTCTTTGCACAGGTAAACAGCACATTTCTTCTTCTACGCTTGCAATATTGGCAGAGCAGACGCCGAATGCGCACTTTCATCTGGTTTGGTGTGCCGCGGTTTCCGTAGACTCGTGAACGCGCTTTTAGGAAATCCTATACACTACTGTTTATGCTCTAAAAAAAGTACTCCAGAGTGTTGTTCAGCATGGGGGTGAGTAGAAAATGAAGGCTAATCATGTTTTGGGTGTACTATTCCTTTAAAGTCCGCCACACAGGGTTTGTGTTCACAGGAAATTGTTGTTTTAAAATGTTTTAAAACAATCCAAGCCAAAGTTATACCAGTTATTTATCCATTGAACTGTTTAGTAAAGAAACAACAAAAAAAAATAGTATATATATATATATATATATATATATATATATATAGGGTGACCAAACGTCCGTATTTCCCGGGACATATCCGTATTTCACGTCCTGTCCCGGGCGTCCCGGGTTTTTTTTTAGAAAGTGAGGAAATGTCCTGATTTCACTGCGCACAACTCTCAGTGTGACGTAATCCCTGAGCCGCGTCAGTGCGGGCAGCCCTGCTCTTAATCAGAGGCTCTGTTCAAAAACCTGGCCTGCATCCTCCAAGGACGCGGTCTACCTAGACTGGATCCTTGGAAGTCCTTGAAAATAAGGAGGCTGGAAGAGTTCTGTCTGTAAATTCGAACAGGTCCACCCTTCAGCGGGTTTTACCGCTGTATGCTCTGTTGCTTAGCAACCGTGAAAGTTGACACACAAAGCAGGAAAACAATGAATACCGAGGTTTTCAAAACTGTTTGTTTATTTATTTATTTTTTAAAAAGTTAAAGTGAACAAAGACTACACTCACAAGAATCCAGAGTGGAATAAAGGTTCCAACCACCGGGAGCAGGAACAAATAAAATCAAATGTAATGATAGAAACCTTAGTCAGTTAAATAACCTGCTGCTGTCATTCTGCACATCTGTGATGTTGCTGCTATTTTCAAATATCCATTACTGTAAAAATGTCCATAGCTGCATATTGGTTATTAATTCTCCAGTTTTATATTGTTAAAACACTTTACAGTATTTTATTTTTTATATTTTAACTCTTCCCTATTATGTTATTCTTATACGTTTTTCTAAGGTCCACATTTGTGTGACCATTTTAATAATCTTTCTGCTGCTGTAAATCTGCCCATTGTGGGACAATAAAGGGATTTTCTATTCTATAAAAGGAGTAGAAATATATAGGTAAATCTAAACAATGTATCTACAAAATATATCTGCAAAGCATATTGTGCAAAACAACAATAAAAAAATTTAACTATCAGATTTATAGTTCCCACACTGCAGATATATTAGAATCTGTCCTTAAATTACAGCCAAACTCATTTACACAGTAACAGATAAAAACCTTTAGATAAACCAAACATTACCGCCTCATATCTGACTCTATAACCATTAAAACAACTATTTTCATTCATTTCAGACGGAACTATTCACAGAGTGGATTATATTAAACTGAACTTCCAATTTTCACCACTGTTCTGCGCCAAGTAACATTTCCTCTGATCACGGAGCAAATCCCAATGATGAGACATTTGTTCTTTCAATCAACAACCCCCCCACTCCAAGGTGTCCTGGTTTTCCAAAATGAAAATATGGTCACCCTATATATATATATATATATATATATATATATATATATATATATATATATACACACACACACAGTAAAAATGTCCACAGCTGCATATTAATTATACATTATTCAGATGCATCTATTTATAATTAAAAGAACACTGTACAGTACAGTAGGCCTATTTGTTTTTTTTTTTTTACATTTGTTCATAAAGTTTCGTGTTTTACTTTTTTTTCTTCTTTACAGCCCTTTGTTCAGCTGTGGCTGTTTTTAATTGGTTAACAAATAAAATTGGATTGGATATTTATTTTAACTCTGTCAGTTATTCTATTATTTTTATAAACTTTATTTATAAACTGATGCGTAATCTGTTGCTGCTGTAACTCCACTATTTCCCCACAGTGGGCCAACAAAGGGAGTTTCTATTCTATGTAGTGTATATCTGCTGTTTATTTAGTAATGTCTTCCAAAGCTCTGATGCCTTCATGAAGTTCTGCCTCCAGCCCTGATGTCAACAGTCTGTTGATTTAAACTAAACTCCGCTGCAGTGCTGAGGCATCCTTCTACTGTTCTGCTTAAAGCAGCAGGATGACCTCCCCAAGATGGCGGCCGTGATGTCTGCGCCGCGGCGGTCAATGCGGGGTCTCTCCTTATATATATGTCTATGGTAGAGACGGTTTTTTTCCGATTGCAGTGAACTAGGAGCGAAGAAGAGGTTTAACCGGAGCAAATTACCAACTTAACCGCAGTCATTAAAACCCAATGCTAGAAGTGAGCGAGCTGACCGTAGTAAGATGGCCGCCGACCATAAGTTAGCTTTAGGTTAGCATCTTGATCTCCTCTAATCAGCTTTCCAATCAGATGAGGCTAAAATCCACAGTGTGCATCATCAGGGAATCGTTTCTATCAGGTGTTTCCTACCTATCCGGTGTAAGATGATCTGGGGGATCCTGGTGAAATCCAGCAGTAGATGTTGATCGTCCATCTTTTCCTCCGAATTGACCAAACTCCCTTTAAACTCCGTGAATGTTTCTTCAGCAGGAGTTAACTGCTCGGTGATAAACTCTCCTTGAAGCTGGACTGAAGACATTCTCACTGCAAACACTCCCAGATTATCAGCCTCTCTACAATGACTCCACACACAAGCTAAGCTAATGCTGCTAATGTTACCCGATCCCTACCAGCAGCTCATTGCGCATGCGCACCATCATCTACATCCGGGTCACTCTCAATTTTATTTTGAAAATATTTCTTCTTCTTCTTCTTCTTCTTCTTCTTCTTCTTCTTCTTCTTCTTCTTCTTCTTCTTCTTCTTCTTCTTCTTCTTCTTCTTCTTCTTCTTCTTCTTCTTCTTCTTCTTCTTCTTCTTCTTCTTCTTCTTCTTCTTCTTCTTCTTCTTCTTCTTCTTCTTCTTCTTCTTCTTCTTCTTCTTCTTCTTCTTCTTCGGCTCTGTTCGAAAACCTAGGACGGGTCCTCCAAGGACGCGGTCTACCTAGACTGGATCCTTCGAAGTCCTTGAAAATAAGGAGACCGGAAG